TGGACAGTTTCATTATCTGTTGGTGCAAAGTGCGATAGCTCAAACAGCCTCACCGGCTGTTGTAATGTTATTTCTGCCTTGGAGGTGATGGCGTTTTTGATGCTCTGAACCTTGTCATTGAAAAATTGTGCAAACTCATTACATTTAGATTCTGAAGCAAATTCGAATGGCAGCTGAACAGGGGGGTTTGTTAATCCGTTAACTGTTGAAAACATAAGTCGTAGATTATTATTGCAGCCATCAATGGTTTTAGAAAAATAAATTTCTCTTGTTCTACGTAGCACCCTGTTAAACTTGCACAACTCATTTTTGAAGATATCATGATCAACCTGGAGATTGGATTTTCGCCACTTCCGCTCGGCCCTACGGCACTCTCTCTTCTGTACCATGACTGAGTCCATTTTAGTCCAGGGGGCCTTTGGCTTATTTGTAATCATTTTAACCTTCACAGGAGCGATGATGTCCAGAACATTTATAACATTGGCGGTGACAGAGTTAAACAATTCGTCAACAGTAGAACACAATGTGTTCTCAAAGTTTATCATTCCCATGAATAGTTCGGTTGTGTTTTCATTTATGTGTCTGTGTCTGACAATTGCAGATTCAGATATATATGGTTGTTTACTATCAAAACACATGTCAAAAAATACACAGAAGTGATCTGACAGAGCCACGTCAACCACATTTACATTTAAAATATTAACCCCCTTTGTAACCAGCAGGTCTAGAGTGTGCCCTTTGCTGTGGGTGGGGCCACTCACGTGCTGAGTGAGACCAAATGTTTCAAGTACAGAACTCAGCTCTTTTGCATTTTTGTCATTGCCATTATCCACATGAATATTAAAATCACCTGTAATCACTAAACTATCAAAATCGGTGCAAACAACTGAAAGCAACTCAGTGAAATTATCAAAGAAATTGTGACAAGACTGCGGTGGCTTGTACAGGACAATGATAAGAATAGAAGGAGATTGTTTTTGTTCTATTTTAAAAGAAATATACTCAAATGATAGAAAATTTCCAAGGAGAATTCTATGAGAGATAATACGATCTCTAAATAATGCAGCAATGCCTCCCCCCCTTTTATTTTCTCGGATTTCAGATTCAAATTTGAAGTTTGGTGGCGTTGCTTCTATTAAAACCGCATTACCTGTACTCTGGTCAAGCCAAGTTTCAGTCAGAAACATAAAATCAAGATCATAAGAACGGATAAAATTATTAATTAAAAATGATTTGTTGCACAGTGATCTGACATTAAGCATAGCAATTTTAAAATTAATATCAGTAACAGTGGGTTTAGTTAATTGATTTTTACAAGGAGCAGGAATTAGATTTGAATGTCTAACTGCTGTCCTTCTGTTATGATTTTGTTTTCCATTCAAATAAAAACATTTTTTGAAACTGATGCGAGGAACACACACAGTTTCTATTTGTCTAACATGTGAACTCTTTTGCTGTGTAAGTCCCGGATTCAGGACGGCATTGCTTCGTTGTTTAGAGCAGGAGGCAGCACGGTTCAGAGGCGAGACTGTTATTTCACTGCCAGACGGAAAGGGGTCAGTGTTTGCACCACAGTACTCACCCGGTGCTGGTGAGCAGGAGAAGAAGGAGGAGGGTGGTGGTGGTGGGGGCTCCGATGTAAACAGTCACGCCCCCCTCGGGGAACACTGAATAACGTGGCGTAGGTAATCCGTCAACAAGCTGGTGCCATATCTATTTGGGTGCAGACCGTCTGGACGATAAGCCACGTGACGCTTCCAGAAAAGGCCAAAGTTATTCACAAAAATAAAGTTAAACGAGCTACATGCAGACTGGAGCCACATGTTCAACGCCACTACGCGACTGTACAAGCAGTCTCCCCGGTTTACAGTCGGGACTGGACCAGAAATAAAAACACACAACCCGGAGGACTGGAGGAGGCGGAATAGATCCATAAAATGCTTCTTTGTGACCTCGGACTGCTGCAGCTTCATGTCGTTGATCCCCACATGCACGATTACCTTTGAAATGGTATCAGGCAGGGACTGAAGCAGAGGAGGGAGACGGATGAGCAGATCTGGGACAGTAGCTCTGGGAAAACACTGAGTGACCGCGTTAAAAAAGTGGACGTGTCTCACCATGGAATCTCCAATAATCAGAGTAGTCGGGGCGAAGAGTGGACGTAGCCGCGGAGAGGGCGCTCGGTGTCCATGGCCAGAACCAGCGGGCTCATCCAGGGATGAGTCCGAACCAGGGCGCTGCTGAACACATGGAGAGGAGTGGGGGTGTTGATTCCCAGCTCCGGGCAACCCACGCTGTGTGCTCGGGGACGCTGGAGCGGCGTGAGGAGCAGGCTCGGGTCGCTGCTGTTGACCCGGTGAAGGTAAGTGGTGGTGATGCATTGGGGTCAGAGAAGGGGAATGACCACTCTTTCGTCTGAGGACGGCTTCCTTTAGGAGCGTTTTTCTCGCAGTGGACTTAGATCCACGAACGGCAGAGTACGCTGCAGAGTCCAGGGGTTCTGCTGAGGGGGCTGGGATGTCAGTGGAGAGGGCTGCATAGCGGTTTGACAGGCTTAGGACATGGGCCACGGCGCTGGATGGCTCCTCGCAGTTCGCGGGTTCCTCATTCGGAACCGGGCGCTTAGGTGTAGAACAGGAGGGTCCAGAGCTGACAGACCTCTCCCACACGACAGTGTCACAGTATGCAGCGCTCAGTGACATAAGTCGTGAGTGCTGCCCGCCAGCGACTTCAAAAAGTTTGGACACGAGTAATTGTTTTTCCTGTAGTTCTGCAGTGAGGCGAAGGACTTCTTTACGGAGGTCTGCAATAGTGGCACGGTCCCTCTCACGAAACTCCAATGTGAGGCGACTAATGTCGTTTATAGGGTTTGTGGTTATTGCAGTGTCGCGTTCCATGTCTGTGTAGGTTTAATAAAAGCTCATGACGTGGTGCCCTCGTGGTAGCCTCCGAGCTAGCACGTTTTCAGCAACACATCTTCATTGTCTCAGTTTGCTCTGGGCTCCAATTCACAATTCTCAAGAGCTTGTGAAGAAGTTTCAATAAAAAATACATTAAACTGTAACTTTAAAAAGAATTAAAAGCAGTAAAAAATCCATTAAAACGAGTTAGTCCAGAGAGAGACACTGAGCAGACAGTGGACATGCTGCCATCAACCATGGAACCATTTTGGCTGTTTTACTTCAAAACAGCATGTATAGAGTGGAGACCGAAAGAACCTGTTTGACTTGAATAACCCTTTAGATGCCAGGTTTTACTCACTTTACTTGTCTGTGCAATACTAACTTTAATATGTCAGTAAGTGCAATCAAGACCTACATTTGTCACTGCTGCTCTACTGAGTCACTGTGTTCCATACCTGCTAACGTGTACAGATGTAAACAAACAACTACATATTTCTTGCTCTAGAATGCTGTTAACACTGATATTCAACCACAGTTGAACCTGGACAAAACAACAACACAAAAACACATAGTTAGGCAATCTTTTTACTTGTTACCCAGTCCAAGGAGAAAATGTCTTGACATAGACAGAGCACACAGCTCAGGCTCTCTCAGGACAGGTCTGAAGCTCAAACAGTCTGTAAGCTCCTTTTGAAAGTACAAGACACACCTTCATATGCAGATAGGACAGGAAGAAGCCACAGAAAACAGAGGAACAGGCAAAAGACAATGGCCCAGATACAGTACACAGTACATGCAACCACCCACCCCCACCCCCCCGGCAGACTGGCCGGAGCCGACAGTGAATCACAATACAGCTAGTTCAGTACACAATATATTTTAGCCACATATTACTTATTAAAATGATAACTTAAGCAACAATCTAATGTCAAATACACAGTAGTTTATACTTCATACTATGCTAGAGATAGAGATTTTTTACCGCTTCTTCTTAGTAGTTTATACTTGCTTCTTTTTATGCCAAAGATCATGCTAAAGACAGAGATTTTACACTGCTTATTTTTATGCTAGAGTTAGATATTTTAATTTCATTTTATTAAGAAAAGAGTTATTTTTTTATTTAACTTGTGTGCTCCTCATTCCTACTGTTCTCTCTAACTCTTTCTCTAAAGTGTCCTGGCTTCCGACAATTTCCCCATATTTGCTCATATACTTTCTTGTTTTCATGTTTGTTATTCATTTTAGTAGTCGTCTCTCTTATGAAGTTTCAGGGCTCCACCTAAGAATGGACAGAAGTGACACCGTGAATCCTTACAACTGGAGACAGGATCAGCTTCTGAGATTGGAAACAGTCCGACCACCGTAAAGTTTCATGGCTCCACCTTCATTTTTCACATCAAATATCTAAATAGAGTGGCCAGAGAGGTTATTTTGGATCATGTACTTTTGTTTATGACTCCTGAAGTTAATTCCATCGTCCAATCACAAACAAGTCCCTCCGTTCGTTCAGTCTAATTGTCCCATTACCAACCCCACGACGTCTTTGGGGATCGACTGTGATTCTTTACGATCGTGTGCCTTCGTTTACATTGCACCGCGTTGAATATGTCATGGGAGAAACCAGGTCTGACTCCGATCACTTGTCTTTGTGAAATGTGTGAAGCCGCTCTCTGCTGTTTCTTATTATTGGTCGTATGGTGCTGGAGAGACGGCTCCACGTGGCATAAACTCTGGCGTGTACTGTCTGCTCCGCCTGCTGCACACTGGGGAAGTCTTGCACTTGTTCCAATGTGGTTTACTATGAAAAAGACACATAAATTGGCTCTAGATGGTTTACGGCGGCAGTGTACAGTCTTTTCAACACCCAAGCAGGACACATTTTGCCGCAAAAACATTGGAAGTTTACCTCCTTCACAGCGCCTGTAGAAAAAGTAACTTGTTATTGCTGATATCGTTTATTTCAATCCAGTAATTCCAGAATCTGCCGACTGACATTACCCGCCTCCTCGCCGTTCCAGCCTCTGTAATGTGACTCGAGAGGCTGTGTTGTCTCTGCATGTGCTGCTGGATGGGATTGGTGTTCAGCTAATCGGGCGTATGCGGCTAACGTGGGGTACGGGGCCTGTGGTTATTGAGTGTCTCATATTGGAAGAAACTAAAGTGCTGTAGGAAGTAATAGTCTTGGTGGATGCTGCCTATCGCTCCCCGGGGCCGCGAGAGGCAATCATCAAACTAAATGAGAGAGATGTCGGCGTGCACTGGCTGGGGTCCCTACGGAAACGCTATTGATGGCCGACAAATCAGCGCGTTTGACGTACATTTCAAAGTGTGCCCTTGCATCTATGATTTTCTTTCTCTTATTTAGACACACACTCATTTATTCATTATGGCATAGCCTTGGATTATCACAGCTTTAGATTGTCAGAATCAGTTCCCAGTTTTGGATGGCATGCCCTGTTTGGCCGTGTCATTAGGGGAAAGATTTTTTTAGCGAGAGCCTTTCCTCGAGAACTAATTACCAAGCTGTCGGGAGGCTGACAGCCCCCGCCACCCCTGCCCGTTGAGGAAATGAGAGGCTGGGAGCGACATGCATGTGGATGGACGCGACAAAGAGGACTACAGAGGGACAGCACTGAAGGATGCTTGACGTGATAAACACAGAGAGAAGCCGGGATTTATCAGCCGGGACAGGAGCGGGTGGTAAATTACAGTGGACCGGAGCGCATTTACATGGAGTGATTGAAAGAGGTGTCCGCACACGCCCTGCTGAAGGCTGGTGTGGAGGCTGGTGTGGAGGGTGGTGTGGAGGGTGGTGTGGAGGCTGGTGTGGAGGCTGGTGTGGAGGGTGGTGTGGAGGCTGGTGTGGAGGGTGGTGTGGAGGGTGGTGTGGAGGCTGGTGTGGAGGCTGGTGTGGAGGGTGGTGTGGAGGGTGGTGTGGAGGGTGGTGTGGAGGGTGGTGTGGAGGCTGGTGTGGAGGCTGGTGTGGAGGCTGGTGTGGAGGGTGGTGTGGAGGCTGGTGTGGAGGCTGGTGTGGAGGCTGGTGTGGAGGCTGGTGTGGAGGCTGGTGTGGAGGCTGGTGTGGAGGCTGGTGTGGAGGGTGGTGTGGAGGCTGGTGTGGAGGCTGGTGTGGAGGCTGGTGTGGAGGGTGGTGTGGAGGGTGGTGTGGAGGGTGGTGTGGAGGCTGGTGTGGAGGGTGGTGTGGAGGCTGGTGTGGAGGCTGGTGTGGAGGGTGGTGTGGAGGCTGGTGTGGAGGCTGGTGTGGAGGCTGGTGTGGAGGCTGGTGTGGAGGGTGGTGTGGAGGGTGGTGTGGAGGCTGGTGTGGAGGCTGGTGTGGAGGGTGGTGTGGAGGCTGGTGTGGAGGCTGGTGTGGAGGCTGGTGTGGAGGCTGGTGTGGAGGGTGGTGTGGAGGCTGGTGTGGAGGCTGGTGTGGAGGGTGGTGTGGAGGGTGGTGTGGAGGCTGGTGTGGAGGCTGGTGTGGAGGGTGGTGTGGAGGCTGGTGTGGAGGGTGGTGTGGAGGGTGGTGTGGAGGGTGGTGTGGAGGCTGGTGTGGAGGCTGGTGTGGAGGGTGGTGTGGAGGCTGGTGTGGAGGCTGGTGTGGAGGGTGGTGTGGAGGCTGGTGTGGAGGCTGGTGTGGAGGGTGGTGTGGAGGCTGGTGTGGAGGGTGGTGTGGAGGGTGGTGTGGAGGCTGGTGTGGAGGGTGGTGTGGAGGCTGGTGTGGAGGCTGGTGTGGAGGGTGGTGTGGAGGGTGGTGTGGAGGGTGGTGTGGAGGCTGGTGTGGAGGCTGGTGTGGAGGCTGGTGTGGAGGGTGGTGTGGAGGGTGGTGTGGAGGGTGGTGTGGAGGCTGGTGTGGAGGGTGGTGTGGAGGCTGGTGTGGAGGCTGGTGTGGAGGGTGGTGTGGAGGGTGGTGTGGAGGCTGGTGTGGAGGCTGGTGTGGAGGCTGGTGTGGAGGGTGGTGTGGAGGGGTGGTGTGGAGGGTGGTGTGGAGGCTGGTGTGGAGGGTGGTGTGGAGGGTGGTGTGGAGGCTGGTGTGGAGGCTGGTGTGGAGGCTGGTGTGGAGGGTGGTGTGGAGGCTGGTGTGGAGGGTGGTGTGGAGGGTGGTGTGGAGGCTGGTGTGGAGGCTGGTGTGGAGGCTGGTGTGGAGGCTGGTGTGGAGGCTGGTGTGGAGGGTGGTGGTGGAGGCTGGTGTGGAGGGTGGTGTGGAGGGGTGGTGTGGAGGGTGGTGTGGAGGGTGGTGTGGAGGGTGGTGTGGAGGCTGGTGTGGAGGCTGGTGTGGAGGGTGGTGTGGAGGGTGGTGTGGAGGCTGGTGTGGAGGGTGGTGTGGAGGGTGGTGTGGAGGCTGGTGTGGAGGGTGGTGTGGAGGGTGGTGTGGAGGGTGGTGTGGAGGGTGGTGTGGAGGGTGGTGTGGAGGCTGGGAGTCAGGACGCCGCCTATCTGCTAATGTAGCTGACGTTTCAACATCAGTCTCAAAGGTGCTTTCCTCCATTGTCTGCTTTTGGCTTGGGTTTGTCTAAATGTGTTTTTTTAATACTCTTTGTCATCAATTATTCCATAAGATTTGGCTATTGTTAATAAGGATTCAGGAATGACCAGGAAGAAAAGGGGCGACAGTGGCTCAGTTGGTGAAGCATTGGCCTCTACTTCACGACTCCCACTGATGACTACTGTCATTGTGTCTTTGGGCAAGACACTTAACCCCACTTTGCCTGAAGCCCCCAATGAAAGATCTCAGCTCCTGTGGACTCACCACCTGCAGGAGGATCAGTGAGGGGCTGGTGCTAAGTGTACTGGGTGCAGCTCTGACTGCCACCCCCCGACCCAGAAATGGATTAAGGGGAAGAAAATGGATGGATGGATGGAAAGTCCAGGAGTTGCCTTAAAATGTATTTCTTTCTTCAATTAATGTTGACATGATCCTCTCTTCCCTGCTACACCGGTCCTAAACCGTTTCACAGTCCGCTCTCCGTGTATTTCTTATTCCCTCCCTCACAAAAACGTTGATTCATCTCAGAGACAGAATGTTCCCGAAACTTCATTTGAGGCCCCCAGTTTTTAGTCTTCTGTATTTTACTAAAAAACCACTTAATGACAATCTGATGAACAACAAACAAATGCACATCACTGTATTCACTGCTTACTCGTCTAAACTTACAGTTGCTTACAACGATGCGTTGAGAATTTTATTAAAAAAGCCCCGATGGACTAGAGCCAGTGATCTCTTTGTGTCAAATAGAGTAAACACTTTGCAAGCTGTCCTGAGAAATCTGATGTTTAAGTTTATATGTCGGCTGAATGATTCAAAAAATTCGGTGATTATTTTATTGTCCAGTGTTGTGTGCAGCGAGGTGCGATACACATCGCTGCTTTGGAAACACTGGTATGCCTGCCTCTTGAAAGATTAGAGGTTTTTATTGTCTGTTGTGTATTTTATTTTATTTATTTGTTTTCTTGTCTTGTGTCTTTGGACCTCGAGTCCGCAAATAAAGTTATCTATCTATCTATCTATCTATCTATCTAAATGTTGTTTTTTCTGCCTGAATATTGACACTGTTTGACTTTAAGTAAGTACGTCATCATTATTTGTAAAGCACATTTCACAGACCAAGGCCACACAAAGGTCTGTAAACGTTGATTTACTCCACACTCAGTGAAGACTAAAGCTGAACCTGTCGCTTTGAAGCCTCCGATCATCACCATCTGTTTCCTCATTCACATCTATCGTATTTGTTTTTCGGTGGTATTGGAAACCGGAGTCTCTGGAGGAAACCTATGCAGACACAGGGAGAACATGCAAACTCCACACTGAAAAGGTCCCGCTTGTTTATTTTTATATTTTTATTTTTTGCACCTTGCTTTGGATGTTCAAAGTCCCGCCCACCCTCTCCCTCCCCCACCAACATATCCATACAATTTATGTTTTGGACACATGTTGGTAATAAATGTTTGGGTTAAAAAAACAACCAAACAGAAAGATCATACCTGGAGGCGGAATCAAAACTTTCAAAATTTGGAACGAAAACTTTAAACTATTCTTTGGGAACAAGCATGTACAGTATCTTCACTCAGATCTGGAGAAGTAATGTTGCCAGTGTGAAAATCCATAAGTAAAGAATACACATGTTTTCAGTCAAACAGAGCAGATTTTCAGGTAAAGTTATAAATGATTATGACATGATTATATTGGTATTTGTATGTTTTTATTTGATATGGACACAACAGTTACATAATGCCTAGTGTACATGGGACTGGCAACTGATTATATCCGTGGCCTTTGAGTTCCTGCCCCGCACACATCGACAATCTGGTGAAAACGGGCAACTCCTGTATCAGGCCAGTCTCGGGAATAACAGCAACTGGCCTCAACTACAGTGTGTTTTCTGACATAAACTGTAGAGGGCGCAATACACACAATACACACATGTTGTTGGAGCACATCGGGTGATATCTCCGACTGAGTACAGCTAGTTGCCGAAAAGTAGAACACGGGCAACTGACTGAATCCAGAGATCGACTGTTTATCTCCAGTTGTAAGAGCGCTCACATCGACCGATTTCAACTGATCATCTCCATCATCTACTCTCAGTCGCCAAAAGCTGCCTGGAAACTAGTTGTCTCCAGTTACTCTGTCCATGTACGCTAGGCTTTAGACATTAGTGTTATAGCAAGATCATGCTAATTTTCAACATGTGTCCATAGTACGTGTATAAGACCCAGGTTGGGTTGTATTGTACCCGTGGATCAACTGCTTTCTCGATCCATAATGTACTTTTCACTTCACCCTTTTTTAACTGAACACAATGAAAACTCAAATGTTTAATCAATGCTGACGACAGAGTCCGAGTTGGATTCATGTTTTTCTATCAGTGCGACATCACCTGTTGAGTGGGGCTAAATGGCTCGTGGTTACAGTAATCGTGCGTTAAAAGGTCTTTTTACCAGTGGGACGTGAGAAGTTAATTTCTTCCGTTGCCATTTGAGTTTTCAGGCCGATCGTTCACAATGAGGACAAGCACAGCGGTGGAGTATTTTCTTCTTTAAAAGCCTGACTAAATTGTCCCTTTTCCTTCCTTCGGTAATAGCTGCCAAGTCAGTCAAAAGATAAAAATTCAGTTATTATAACAAAAAAGAAGTGTTGCACTCCCACATAATGACATAATGAACAGTTCAGTCAGATTATGAAAGGACTTTTTTTTCTCCTTCCTCTTCAACGAAAAGACACCCGTCAGAAAGATGTAAATTATCTGAATCTGCTCAATCCATCGTCTTTGCAAAGTCATTATCATTATCGTCTAATTACCGATATTGTAATGAGAGATTTAAAATAAATGCACTTTAACTTAATCCATAAGTCATGTGTACGAGTGACCAAAAAATACAGCTTTTACCTCAAATTAATTAGAATCATATTTATTGTTGTACAGCCCTAAACAATAGTTATTTCTTTTCTTTACAAGCCGTCGACTCTCCAACACAGATCAGAGAATCAAACAGGTCAAACTCTGGAAAAGCAGTGATAAAAACACAACTATTGGTCCATAAACGTTGATTAAAGATGCTACACCCGATTTATTTCAATGAGTTTATAAAAATGCTTATTACTACAAACAAGTTGTATTATAATCCGTAATTTAATGTAAAACGTGAGCTCATTGATTCAGCTGTGGATGAATTCAGTAAAAAGTGCTGAGTAGAGACTTAGCGTGACGCCCGCTCTCCTCCAATCACAGAACGAGGCGGCGTCCTCTAGCCTCTACAGCGCTGCTAAACACAGTAGCATGTTAGCATAAGTGGCTATAACTCCTCTGGCTGTAACTGCAGACACAGCAAAACAGCCCAAACCACACAACAGTGAGGAAGAGAAGAAGCCAGAACATGATCAAAGAAGAAACCAAGCCCTGAACAGAGCTAGCTTACATCGTATCCTCTGGAGAGACTGGTCTGAGGGAGAGACCTGCGGGACCGCCTCGGACTATCTACGCTCGGACCATCTGCGCTCGGACCATCTACGCTCGGACTATCTACGCTCGGACCATCTACGCTCGGACCATCTACGCTCGGACTATCTACGCTCGGACCATCTACGCTCGGACCATCTACGCTCGGACTATCTACGCTCGGACTATCTACGCTCGGACCATCTACGCTCGGACCATCTACGCTCGGACCATCTGCGCTCATACTATCTACGCTCGGACTATCTACGCTCGGACTATCTCGGACTATCTACGCTCGGACTATCTACGCTCGTACTATCTACGCTCGGACTATCTACGCTCATACTATCTACGCTCGGACTATCTACGCTCGGACTATCTACGCTCATACTATCTACGCTCGGACTGTCTACGCTCGGACTATCTACGCTCGGACTATCTACGCTCATACTATCTACGCTCGGACTGTCTACGCTCGGACTATCTACGCTCGGACTATCTGCGCTCATACTATCTACGCTCGGACTGTCTACGCTCGGACTGTCTACGCTCATACTATCTACGCTCGGACTATCTACGCTCGGACTATCTGCGCTCATACTATCTACGCTCGGACTGTCTACGCTCGGACTATCTACGCTCGGACTATCTACGCTCAGACTATCTACGCTCGGACTATCTACGCTCGGACTATCTACGCTCGGACTATCTGCGCTCGGACTATCTGCGCTCGGACTATCTACGCTCATACTATCTACGCTCGGACTATCTACGCTCGGACTATCTACGCTCAGACTATCTACGCTCGGACTATCTACGCTCGGACTATCTACGCTCGGACTATCTACGCTCGGACTATCTACGCTCGGACTATCTACGCTCGGACTATCTGCGCTCGGACTATCTACGCTCAGACTATCTACGCTCAGACTATCTACGCTCGGACTATCTACGCTCGGACTATCTACGCTCGGACCATCTACGCTCAGACTATCTACGCTCGGACTATCTACGCTCGGACTATCTACGCTCGGACCATCTACGCTCAGACTATCTACGCTCGGACTATCTACGCTCGGACTATCTATGCTGAGAAGCCTGTGAGCGAGTTGGGGGCGGGGCTAAACATTCAAACTGAAAAAAACCTGCAGAAACAGGAGTAGATCCTTTAAGTTCATAAATGTTGTTGCATGTTGTGTGTCCTGGATCATCACCACATGTCCTGGACCCTTCTGCATCGGCAAAGAAAAACTCTTTAAAACCCATTGAGAGAAAGTTAGAAAGTTCAGAGAGGCCCACATTGAGGGAGGGGTCTGCTCTCATGGACAGACGGGCTGTAGATCCAGGACTCAGGCTGTAGAACGAGGACAGAGTGGGCTAAATCCACTGTAATCATACCAATAATTACATGCATTAGGGTCCGAGGAGGCCCCGCGGAAGACCTAGGACACGCTGGAGGGACTATGTCTCTCAGCTGGCCTGGGAACGCCTTGGGGTCCCCCCGGACGAGCT